AATCCTCAATCTCCATTTCTATTAGAATCGTGACTTTTGTTCTCCCCATTTTACCCATCTTTTGCCCCCCCCCTCCCCAGTGGCATAGCGGTATGTCTAACAACGCTAGAATCCGGGTTTCGATACCCGTGGTTGGCAGAGCACAGATAGCCCATTTTGTAGCTTTGTGCTTAATTACAGACAAGCGAACAAAACAAGCCCATCTTTTATTTTTCATCACCCCTCTCTAAATCTTAAGATTAACATAATTTACTTATTATAGTAAAGATATTACTAGGGCTAAATAAGGATGAGATAAAAGATCAAACACACCTCTTTTTTTATCAATGGCCACATTTCTGTTTGTAGTTTAACAGTATAATATGCTACTTGTGATTTGCCTCCATTTTCTCCTAAACTATTATTTCATTTTTTATCAGTGGCCACATTTCTGTTTGTAGTTTAACAGTATAATATGCTACTTGTGATTTGCCTCCATTTTCTCCTAAACTATTATTTTAAAAGAGTAGCCCAAGAGTTGGCGGTGGGTGGTGATGACTAGCTGCCTTCCCTCTAGCTTGCTTTAAAAGAGAATCACCGTCTCTACTTGACAAGGAATGGTGACATCCAATTAAATTCCTATACCATGACTTCGTTTCTCGTGGCCCGGCATGGCCAGGTGGTTAGTGAGCTCGCATCGCAATCTGAGGGTCGCGGGTTCGAATCCCCGTCACACCAAACATGCTCGCCCTTTCAGTCGTGGGGGCGTTATAATATGACGGTCAATCCCACTATTCGTTGGTAAAAGAGTAGCCCAAGAGTTGGCGGTGGGTGGTGATGACTAGCTGCCTTCCCTCTAGTCTTAAACTGATAAATTAGGGACGGCTAGCGCAGATAGCCCTCGTGTAGCTTTGCGCGAAATTCAAAAACAAACAAACATCGTTTCTCGTACGTTATTTGTTTCTTTTTTGTGCATTTCGACAAAGATATTAGAGGGCTATCTGTGCTTGCTATTTCTAATTTTGAAGTGAAGGCAGCTAGTTAACACCACATATCACCAACTCTTTACCAACAGATAATGGGATTGGTCGTCAAATTATAACGACCACACGGCATAACGGTTACGGGATTCGAATCCGCGACTCGTAAATTGTGAATCGAATGCTCTAACCATTAGGCCACGCTAGCTCTTCTTTTTCTCGTAAAAAAAGATAACATTTTGGACCCGATAAACGTTTGTATTAATTAATAAAATCAATCTTGTCGTCTTAAACCTTCAATAGTTATAAATATTTCAAGTTTTCGGTTTTCTTTAAATTTTAACTTTTTTAAAATTTATTGAATGAAAAATTATTCAACTTTTATAAACATAGTGACTTCATATTAAAAACATAACGCTGTAAAGTTTCTTCTATAAACACGTTTATTTTTTGTGCAAAGCTACACAATGAGCTATTTGTACTCTATTCACCATAAGGATTAGAACCCCGAATTTTAACTTTTAAACTTACTGCTGAAATATTTTTGTATAATACTATATTTTTATTCCAGAGTTTTTTAAGTATTGAAAGTCAAATGAGTTGTTTCATCAACCATATTACATGATAAGTGCGGCTCAGCGACAAGTCCGGAGGCTTATAACGTTAAAAATTGGGGTTCGATAACGGCGGTGGGCATAGCGAAGACAACCCACTGTTTATAGCGCTTAAACAAAGAGAAATATACAGGATGTAGGTTGTTTTTTTGCTATGGAACTTGAAAACATAGCTATTAAAACAGGTATATTTTTGTATATTTCATAAAAAATGGATAACTCAGATCCAGCTTAGAAACAACGAATGTAATAGATTACAAAGAACTTTGAAACATAAACCATAAACATCTAGGTATTCCGACACGATGTTCTGGATTATTTATTATTTGCTGATACACAATTATAAAGCTAAAGTGAACCCGCTGAAAGATCAAAGGTTATTTGGGGATATTGTTTATCCAAGTGTGCCCGCTATTAACAAAAGCTTTGCTTAATTCTTGTATAAAATAAATATAAGATAAAAGGCAAACAGGTGAAAATACAGAATAGGATATCGGAGTAAAATAACAGAGACGAGGAAGAAAAAATAAATAATAGTTTAGGAGAAAATGGAGGCAAATCACAAGTAGCATATTAAACTACAGACAGAAATTTGCCCACTGATAAAAAATAAATAATAGTTTAGGAGAAAATGGAGGCAAATCACAAGTAGCATATTAAACTACAGACAGAAATGTGGCCATTGATAAAAAAATACGGTCAATCCCACTATTCGTTGGCACATTATAACGCCCCCATGGCTGAAAGGGCGAGCATGTTTGGTGGGACGGGGATTCGAACCCGCGACCCTCAGATTGCGAGTCGAGTGCGCTAACCACCTGGCCATGCCGGGCCTATACAGGTAGGCAAATGATAGGAGAGGTTATGTGTATTGCAGCAATGTGACTATGTCAAGATTGAGCATAAAAGTAAAACATGGTGCATGGGATATGTTATTGTTACAATAGTTAAAAATGTGGTCAAAACTGATAGTATTATGAGGAAGAAAAAGTGTCCATTATTGGTGTACTGTGGAATACAGGTTGGGGGGGGGGTGATAAATTGGCTCTGACTTTGAATTCAATATATATATAAAAAGCCCTCTTTGGTGAAAGAAATGTTACTCTGTGTGAAACTGAAAAACAGATATTGTTTTACATTGCTTTATCTTTAAAATAGTTAGCTTAGTTATATGGTAGGTATTTATGTGTGTTTCTTTGTGTATCAAATTTCATGCAGCAAAGCTAAAAGCAAAACGTATGGCACATTAAAGACAGGCAAATAAAAATATGGTACAAACTACTATATGTGAACAGTAAAATGTACTTTGAAAGTAAAACTGATATAGTTGTAGGGATATATGATCTAATAAATTTGACTTTTATTCATAACTCTTACATGTTAAATGAAATTAGAACTAAAAAAGTAAAATTGTTTTTAGGATAATGAATTTGTTAGTATGATACATGTAATCATTTCTAGAAGATTGTTAAGGCCTAAAATACAATAGTACTAACTCAAAGAGCCAGTGTTTATAATGTATTTTTTATTACCTTATTGAATTATTCCAAAATCGGAAGTTACAACAAAAAGTGACAAAACAAATTCCAAAATTTATTTTTCATGTATCATCATAGCTTATTGCAAGCTACTGACTTATTCTGTATGAATAATTATTCACTGGAAATGTTTTTATTATTCTTCATTGCACAATGTAAAGACATTTTCCCTTGTTATAAAAGCTTTTTGAGCATCTCTTATGAAAGCTATTGATTAGGGTACTCATTATTTACATGTTACCTTATAATTTATTTTTGTTTGCTTCTAATGGTCAGAAAAGAATGCTTTTTTTTTTTGTTGTTGTCATTATTCTAACCTCATTTAAGTGAAACTGTCTTGAGATCACCAGCTAGCTAACTTTTAGATTTTTTAGATATTGTGGTAGTAAAATATGCAATTGCTAATATTTAATGAATTTTTCAGAAATATCTATTTTTCTTACCTTTTTTTTTTAACAGCCACAGCATGGGCAGAAGTACTTGTCCTGAATCAATATTTATCTTTACTTAGTGACAGGAGTTCTCAAATTCCATTCTTGAAATGTCAAACAGAAAATTCTCTTCCAAACAGTATTGTATGGTATTTTGATGAAGTAGTTGTGAAGGGTCACAGGTATAGTTTAATTGATAACGATGATCTAAGGTTGACAGTTAGAGAGGTTCTCAGGAGACATCCACTTCAAAGACAAGAGAACGATGTGTTGAAAGTTCAAGGTTACTATGAGTGTGAGACTGAACAGATGAGACCATTCCAAACAGTTAAATCTTTTAAACGGTTCTTTCAGTTTGATGGTAAGTATCTTGTTCTTGTGAAAAATATAATAATAGGAAGTATCTTGTATAACATTCGTGTTAAACATATGATAATAATAGGTATTTTGTATATTGCTCATATTAAAAATATAATCATATTAATAAACCAGTTTTTATAAAAATAATAAATATTGACCTCATAATACTAATTATCTAATTCAGGTTATAAAGGAATCCCTAATGTATCTTATTTCTGTGATTTAAAAATTCATAGAGCATTTGGTGCTGTATTTCTAATACTAATTTTACTGTGTAAAAAATTTAATTTACATTTTCAATTCATTTTACTTATGTGTGATGTATGTATCATAAAAAATGGAATAAAAATAGAATTACTAATAGAAAATCAGAAATATTAAATGTATGTTTTATTTTCATTTATTACTAATTTCGATGTAAATTTCTGAATTTTTTAACTCATTTATTATATTGATTTTCACACAATTGTCATTAATTGTCTACATTTGGGGCAAATCATAGATAAACCAAATGCATAATAGATAACTTCTGTAATTAGACCCTGCTACAGAATGTAATTTCTTAGGCACATGGCCACCAAAAAAATGATTTAGAATGTTCCAAATTAGAACTTAGAAAATAAAATAAAATATTGTTTTAAGTAGTACTTAATCGTAGATATTGACAAGGAAAAAAAATGGCAGCCAAAAAAATGCTTTCCCAGAAACCACCTTATAAAACCTTTTTTTCACCAAAAACCTACTTGGATACATAGACACAACAAAAACACCATTGTACCTTGACTTACAATGACAAAAAGTCGAAAATTACTCTGCTACAAGTCTTCAAACATTTCTAAAACAACCTCTATTTCGGCTGACTGACTGATCACATCAGAGAGCCTAGAGCAAAAATAACTAAGCCATTTGGTTCAGTATTCTCTCACAGTACTTGGTTTGATGGTGGTTATTCACTTTTGCCCTTTCATTAAAAATCCACATGTATATATATACAGGTATAATATAAATAGTACACATATCATGCAGGTACTTAAATATCTTTTCAACCAAATTGAAACAAATGGATGGTGCAATATATATATATATATATATATATATATATATAGTAAACTAGTTATAAGTAAAGTAATACTAGTTATACTAGTTAACTATAAACTAAGTAAACAATACAAGAAGTAATTAAACTAATTAATTTATTTAAA